GGTGTGAAGATAAGCTCTTTGCCCATCTGACCCCTTTCATGGAGCACACTAGTTAGTACGTGGAGTCCTACATGTCCTTCACTTGGATTTGTTGAGCCAAGGGTCTCTTCTGCAGTGAGAGGAGACATATCTGCAAAAGAGAGTTTGGTGTAACAGCCAGCAAGAGAGGAATGGACTAAAATCAAGCCCAGAGAGTAGGGCAGTCTGTTACTCTTGTGTTGGCAGGAGCGCTCCATGAAGACTAGAAGAAGGTGAGCTGCTTTAGCCATTTCTTTCAGTCCCTTAACATGCTCCTTGCTCACTAGCAATGTCAGAATATCAGCTGTATCTCTCGTCCTCCACTATTTTTTTCCTTCCTCCTAGAAGCAAAGCTTTGCCAGTGGATTCCCAGGGAAAAGGAAGTAATCCTACTGAATTCTATGCAGATGGTGCTTTGAGAGGAGGTATGGTTATGTTAGTTACTGTTTTGTGACCATCCTTGTAAAAGGCACCTAGCTCAAAGTGATGTGTGGTCATACATAGACATCAGAGCAACCAGCATAGATCAGAGCAAATCTCCATCTAGCTTGGCATCCTGGCTCAGATGATGACTGTGTGCGATACCTGGTGAAGTGTAGAAGAATGTGGCAAGAATCTATGACACTGAGTACTCAGAGTTTGCCACTATTTGCTGAAAACAGATTTATTTAGCAACTCCCAGTGGATTTTTTTTTTTCCTATATGTTCATAAGAAAGGATGAGTTAGTATCTGTTCAGTAGTAGTTGGGTCTGGGAGAATGGAATATCCAGTCTGTACTGGGGTAATAAATGGAATACTGCTTAGTGTATTGGCTGCTCAGAGAAAGTAGTATCTGATATACTCACAGAGGTGGTCTTGTCTCGAGCCTCTAGGAGCTGATTAGTTAAGCTGCTCAGTGATGCAGGAAAGATTTTGGTGACACACCATGAAAAATAATGGTCTGAAGTAGGGAGATAAAGTTAGTGACAGAAACTTCAGTGTTATAGTATGATACTAATTGATGGTGCAAGTTAGTGGTCACACAAATGGGCTCCTTCTATCTGGAAACCCATGTTTCCGATAGGAGTTCCCAGGAACTCCTGCTCTGAAGAGTTCCAGGATGACATAATCTATTAGCATCATGAACTCTGCTTCTCTATCCTAGACTTACCAGAAGCATATTAATACAATGAAGCTTTTTAGTTTCTTTTTTTTCTTTCTGGAAAGTTAGGGCATGGTTCACTGTCCCAGTGAGGCTTTTACTTCTATCTTGGTGTGAAAGATGGATAAATGAAGTGAGTAACACAACAAGTGACTCAGAGTATCTCCCAGAATCTAAACTATCTAACCAGATATTCTGATCTCTGACCCAAACCAGCCAGGGAAGACTTGAATAAAAACTGAAAAAATTCAAATTCTAATTCACTGGGGACCTGCATTAAAAGCTCTTAACTGATACATCACAAACTAAATGCAAAGAGGTTCATCTCTGGGTTTGAGTGAAGCAGCTACAGCCTGGTTAGCTTTCTTCCCTGCCTCGTCTCACTTCTCAGCTGTTCTCTGTCTCTGTTGAAGGTGGAAATGAGACGGAATGCTCAGAGTCCCCCTGTGTAGGTTTACAGCATGATTTTGCAGGCGGTATGCAATGCAGGCATGAATCACAACTGCCTTTAAGATACTGCTGTATTTCATTCCCTGGCTTTTTCATCTGAATCAGAACAGGCTGCAGATTTTTGTTTTTAATCTAAGCAAAGGCCAATTTACTCCAGAGATTAGTATTTGCTGACTGTTGCTGCTGGTTTTATGCTCAGAATCACAAACCCCTTGGAAAATGAGGCCAGCTTGTGCATGTGTACACAAACCTGGTTTCAAATCTGGCTTGGATTCATTCTCTCTTCCAGCTCAGCAAGTGACTGACATGTTCACTTTAGCATAGCTTCCTCCCGGGACAAGCCGTGGGTTGTGCCAAAGTGCTTGCGAGGAGTTCACTGCGTGTTCAGTCGCACACCGTAGGCAGATTCTGCAGCACCCTGGAGACAGGGGTGAGATGAGGACAGTAGCAGCCATGATTCAGAGCTGCTTTGCTTTTTGGTTTTGCTAATAGATCATACTGAAAATTTTTATTTGCAGTGAACCGAGATGCAAATCAGATCCCCCTTCACCCTTATGTTATTGTATTTATTTGAAAGTGCTAAACTAGTATAACTCCTGTTCAGTTTAAATTCAGGTATGGCCGAATTCAGTCTGTAACAGTTCATCAAAGGCATTCATACTGAAAAATATATCATTTAAATACAGAAATGTCCGTGTGATGGTCATAATCCCGCAACACTGGGCATCAGCCAGAGAAACGCTTGTGTCTCCAGAGCTGCCCTGCAGTGGGGCTCTTGGGTCTCAGAGTTGGGCAGGGTGGGTTTGGGGGGCTGTGGCTCTGTGCTGGGAACAAGAGTGGTTGGAGGACAGGGAGGTCTTGCGATCTGACAGTTCTCTGCACACATGAAGTGATCAGGTCTCAGTGCATTACTCTAACATGTTAATCAAAGAGAGGTTTTTTTTCCTGCTTGTTTGCTTATTTGTTGTTTGGATCAAACATTAACACGGAAGAAGAAAGAGCTGTAGCTGAAAGTGGCTTTCAGTTTAACTTTCTTGTTTGATATACAAAGCCCAATGCAGACCAGCCTCTGCAGATAGCCCTGGATTTGATAACTGGCATTTTTAATTTGAAAAGTCTCCCTTCTCTTCCTATTAGTTGCTCCTCTAAGCAAAGCAGCTGGCATGACCTGGGCATGTTGTGCTTCTATTGTTGCTGTGAGACAATAGCTCAGCCTGAGGGAAGAAGTCAACCTACTTACCATATCCTCTGGGAGTTGTTACAGTGGGACTCTGGAAACCAGTGTTTCTCTGAAGCTCACTGAGGCTACCTGATGATCCATGAGATCTGGGAGATCAAAGAACTGAACTGAGAGCTAGGTGTCCATAGGAGACAGGCTTTGGTTTCCTCAGCAGAGTGGCAGGTGTCATATGGGCTCCTGTATGCAGCCTCCGCCCGTTTTCTTCTTCCCCAGAAAAAAAGAGGACAGGGCAACAGAGAATTGTGGAGAGGGGAAGCAGAAGACAAAGGCACATCAGGTTTCCAGATACCAGGCATTGTGTTCAACAGAGGGCTCATTGCTAATGTGCTGTCTCAGCTGGCAGAGGTTGAGAGCTACCTGACCTTGCTTCAGCCCAATGCTCTGATGTATCTTAAAAACAAGAGTTTGTATAATTCAAGTGAGGAGGTAAATGGAGGTTATACAAAGCCTGAGGAGAGGAGTGGGCAGTGGTCCAGCTGGTGTCAGGTGGTTTGCTGCCCTACTGCAGTAATACATCGTTTGTGATAGCAAAACTTGCACAGAACAACAAGAATTACAGCATATTCTGGAGGGAACTTCTGTACTGCCAGAGGCAAACATTTCTGGGGACATGGTTTAACGTATCAAGTCTGCCAATACGTTAAGTAAAGCTTAGAGCTCCATTTTTCATATCAGAACTACTGTGCTTTTCCACCGTAGCAGTGGTCTCAGAGAAAATGTTTCCAGGTGATTTACAGAACCACTGCAGTCATCAAAAATACATAAGCAAGCAGTGTGAGGAAAGTAGATTGAGTATGTCAGACCTCTGGTTACCTGACAGCAGAGGGGTTCTTACTCTTGTCACGGGAGCTCAGTGACACCAGGGAAGGTGCATATTATTCTGACTCCACCAGAGGCAGCTACCAGACCCGAAAGAGAAGTTTATCTTAACGAACCCATCATATCCTTGCACAGGGATAAGTGAACAACACTCACTTTCCTTGTAGTACTTGATTAAAATAAGAATTTAGTTGCTCTGAGTGGCTAGAGATGCATCTTCATTGCGTAACCCATAAATGAACCGTAAATATACCAGGCATGGGCAGTTTCCACTCAGTGCCTGAAAACATCATTTCTGTATGCAGCAGAGCTCTGCAGCTAACCTAATAAATACTAGTGCTGAGCAGGTCTAATTATCTCCAATGCAGCACTGCCCTGGCATACTGTATGGCTTCCCGCTCCAGAATCAGCTTAGCTGGGACTTGTTTGGGTGTCTGTGCTGTCCTTCACGGTGTGGTGGAAACAGGCCCTGAGCGGTGCTTGGTGGAGGAGCATCGCGTGCGTGAACCAGACTGCAGTGCTACTCTGCTCTTAATGTAATGGGGAAGTGCTGGACTGTAAAACGATGAAGTCACTTTAACAGCTCCTCTTGAAATTTGTCTTTGAGTTGAGTCAAGCTGTGGTCACTTTGGACCTAATTTGGGGGCAGCAAACCCTTGTCTTTTCTGAAAAGAGTGCTTGATAGTATATGGTGCCCCTGAGCAAAGTGATGACTAGCATGGTCTGATTTTCTTTTCTTTTTTTTTTTCCTATAAAGCAGTTACCAATATCATAGAGATAATTACTAAATGGTGTTCTTCTAACCTATGGGAGAACACACCTCTGTTTTTCTGATTTTATTGCCTAAAACCAACTTCATGAAAAGTAGATGTTGGCAGGTGATGTAGAAAATGATGTGTGGAAAATATCTGAAGATGCTCTAACTCAAGATTTTAAAGATCAGATAAGACAAGTGAAATGGTAAAACTGTCTCAGTGTCAGTTATTTAAGTGAGAAGATAGTAAAATAATCACATGTCCTGTAGCAGCTGGATTTATATAGGTTTAGGTCCAGTTATATTGTATTACAGGTTAATGTATGAAAACGTATCCTTACTTGGAAAGGGTTAGATGAGTGGTTTTTTGGAGACCTAATCCCAGCCAGCTGTATAAACGCAGTTCCCACTTTTATTGGTCTGTAAGGAATCTCAATTTGTTTGTCTCAAGATAACTTCAAAACCACTTTTGTCCTTAAGAGATGTCCTGAGGATGGGAGATGGGTGATACACCCTAGACCAAAAGTGTGTTCCTTTTCCACTAATGCTTCCAAATGTGGCTTTTCTCTTGCTGTAGTACTGGATAAATGAATACACCTCCACTTTGGGGATCGGTGTCTTCCACTCTGGCATCGAGATCTACGGCAGAGGTATGAAGTATTTCCTTTTCACTACCTGCAGAACATGGGGGCAATTGTAGGCCTAGTCTGATATGGAAAAGCACCCCAAACTTACAGCTTTTGGCAAGGAATGTTTTGAGGAGTGAAAAGCTTGGCTAGTCTTCTTTTTAGAGTCTGTTGTGAAGTCCAGCAGGAA